ATTTGTAAAAAAAAAAAAAAAAAAAAAAAAAAAGAATATAACTCAAAATTTGATCATAGGCAAGTGAACTAACATTGAAAAAATATGAAATTTAAGAAAATGGCAGCATTAATGGGACGCCCCACCCAGGATGTGACATAAAAATTACAATGGGAAACGCTATACAATTTGGAGAGAAATCAAGATATCAACTTCATTGAATATGACTCATTCCTGACTAACTTCTGAGACCATGACCAAAAGCTGCCCTAAAGTTTTCTCTATTCTATCCGTCAAATAGCTGGAAAGGGAGAAGAGGATTTTATTAATGTTTTTCAACTACAACTTTAAGTACATATCTTTAAAAAGAGATATTCTTCTATTTTATATTTTAGGAAGAAGAACTATATTTTTTATTAGTAAGCTCACTGCTTTTTGTAATATCCTTTATACCATACATTAGTGATTATACATTCTAGTCCCCTGCTTACCCTAATTAATGTCTGGTTTTTAAAGAAAGAGGTTCTTTCAGCTTTACTCTAGGGTAAGGGACAAACTAGCTACAAACTACTGATGATGGATCAGCCTAGGGACTAATCATTAGGTGTATCTCAGCAATGTGTAATATTAATTTGCCTTACATTATTTAAATGAAAATCATGTTTGTTCCTCTCTCTTTTAGTTTAAGTTCTAAATTTCCCTCATATTCAGTCAAAAAATCATCTAGTTGAGAGGAAACATGATAATTAAAGATAGGTAAGGAAGGTTCAGCTTCAGGCTACTGGAGTGGTAATAAGAGCTATCAACTTCAGTGTGCCAGCCGGTACTTAATATTAAGTACTTTGTATACTTAATGCCTCTAACCCTTCCATATTTTTGTAGCAAATATTGTTATTTTTTGTATTATGCACCAGATTATTGTCCAGCCAGGAAGTTGTAAAGTTAAATTTCAAATCAGCATTATAAATGCAGACTCCATGCTCTTCTACTGTTTCTTAGATTCAGTCTTTTTAAATAGCAGCACCTCACCTTCAAAAAATTTAAGAAGCTTATTAACACAAGGCAAATATGGGAAAAGCTTTATTTAAGTACCTATAAAATTCCTGTTCAATGAGTAAGAAACTGCTACAGAAGGGATAGTATGAAAAACTACATGCCAACAAATTGGACAACCTGGAAGAAATGGACAAATTCCTAGACCCATATAAACTACCAAAAATAAAAAAGGAAGAAACATAAAACTTGAACAGACCAATAACCAGCAAATAAATGAAATCAATAATTAAAAAACTCCAAAATCCCCCCAAAACAAAAGTCCACAGCCAGATGATTTCAAAGCTGAATTTAAAGAAGAGTTGATCCTTATTCCTCTCAAACTATTTCAACAAATAAAAAAAAGGAAAACTTCCATATTCATTCTATGAGGCCAGAATTACTCTGATACCAAAACCAGATCAAGACTCCACTATAAAAGGGAACTACAGACCAATATCTTTGATGAATATGCATGCAAAAATTCTCATAAAAATACTAGTTAACTGAATCCAAAAATACATTGAAAAACCATTCACCATGATCAAGTGGGATTTATTCCTGGGTTGCAAAGGTGGTTCAGTATTCGCAAACCAATCAACATGATATACCACATCGATAAAAGATAGGATAAGAACCATCAGTTCAACAGATGCAGAAAAAAAGTATAGATGACGAAGTATTACATCCATTCTTGATAAAAACTCTCAACATAGTAGGTCGGGAGGGAGCATACCTCCACATAATAAAGGCCACATGTGAAAAGCCCACAGCTAATGTCATCCTCAATGGGGAAAAATTGAGAGCTTTTCCTCTACAGTCAGGAATAAGACAGGATGTCTACCCTCCACATTGTTATTTAACACTGTACTGGAAATTCTAGCCATAGCAATCAGAAGACAAAAAGAAAGAAGAAAAGGCATCCAAATTCGCAAGGAAGAAGAAGAAAAATTTTCACTATTTGCACATGACATGATACTCTACATAGAAAATGCAAAAGACTCCACCAAACAACTGCTAGGACTGATAAATGAATTCAGTAAGCCACAGGATGCAAAATCTAAGAAACAGAAATCTGTTGCATTTTTATATACCAATAATGATCCAGCAGGAAGAGAAATAAAGAAATCAATCTCATTTACAATTACACCAAAGACAATAAGATACTTAGGAATAAACCTAATCAAAGAGGTGAAGGACCTGTATTCTGAAAACTATAAAACATGGATGAAAGAAATTGGAGAGGACACAAAGAAATGGAAAAACACTCCATGCTCATGGAATGGAAGAACAAACATTGTTAAAAGGACTATACTACACAAAGCAATGTACACATTTAATGTAGTCCCTATCAAAATACCACAAACATTTTTCAAAGAGCTAGAACTATCCTAAAATTTGGATGGAACCAGAATAGACCCCATAAAAGCCAAAGGAACCTTCAAAAAGAAGAGTAAAGCTGGAGGCATCATGATTCTAAACTTCAAGCTACATTCCAAAGCCACAGTCATAAAGATAGCATAGTACTGGCACAAAACCAGACACATAGGTCAATGGAACAGAAAAGAAAACCCAGAAATGGACTCACATCTATAAGGCCAAATCTTTGACAAAGCAGGAAAGAGTATCCAGTGGAAAAAAGAGAGTCACTTCAACAAATGGTGTTTGGAAATCTGGACAGCAACATGCAGAAGAATGAAAGTAAACCACTTTCTTATACCAAACACAAAAATAAATTCAAAATGAATGAAAGACCTAAAAATGAGACAGGAAATATTTGAAATCCTAGAGAACACATGCAGTAATCTCTTGATATCAGCCATAGAAACTTTCTAGATACATCTCCTGAGGCAAGGGAATCAAAAGCAAAAATATCACTGGGACTTCATCAACATAAAAGCTCCTGCACAAGAAAGGAAACAATCAACAAAACTAAAAGGCAGCCTACAGAATAGGAGAAGGTATTTGCTAATGACATATCCAATAAAGGGTTAGTATCCAAAATATATAAAGAACTTATTAAACTCAATACTCAAAAAAAGAATAATCCAATTAAAAAATGGGAAGTCATGAACAGGAATTTTTCCAAAGAAAACCTACACATGCCCAATGGACACATAAAAATATGCTCAACATCACTCATCATCAGGGAAATACAAATCAGAAACAGAATGAGATATCATATCACCTCATTCCTATCAGAATGGGGAAAATCAACAATACAAGAAATGACAGGTGCTGGTGAGGATTTGAAGAAAAGGGAACCCTCTTACACTTGGTTGGTGGGAAGGCAAACTGGTATAGCCACTCTGGAGTAGAGAGATTCCTCAAAAATTTAAAAATAGCACTACCCTACAATCCAGCAAGTGGAATACTAGGTATTTACTCAAAGAATACAAAAGTACTAATGCAAAGGGATACATGTACCTCGATGTTTAGAGCAGCATTACTTACAAAACACAAATTATGAAAAGAGCCCAACTGTCCACCAACTGATGAATGGATAAAGAAGATGAAAAATATTTATTTATTTATTTTATTTTTACACACACACACACACACAGAGGAACATTCCTCAGCCATAATAAAAAGAATGAAAATTGTCATTTGGAACCTCATGGATGGAGCTACAGAATAAAATACTAGGTGAAATAAGTCAGAGAAAGATAAATATTATTTCATTCATATGTGGAATTTAAGAAACAAACAAACAAATAGAAAACAATAGAGAGGGAGGCAAAACAAGAAACAGAATCATAACTCCAAAGAACTGATGGTTACCAGAGGGGAAGTGGTTGGAGGGATGGGTAAAATAGGTGATGGGGATTAAGGAGTACACTTGTCATGAATACTGGTGATTAAATTTATATATATGTATACATGCACACATACACACATATATAATCCATTCTCATTCTTGTGATGTGGATACCTCAGGCTGCAATTAAAAGCAATTACTAAATCACTAATTTTCATGGCATTACTGACATACAATCTTCATCTACTGCTGTAAGAAATAAATTGTGATAATCCAAGTGTTTTCCTCCTACACTTTTATGCTCTGTATTGAGCTTGACCAAAAGGGAAAGACAGAAGGGATGATACATCAGGAGTTATTCAACATATCTTGAAAACCCATATATATGTTTTTTTTTAATTTATTTTTGAGAGAGAGGGAGCAAGAGAGAGAGAGAGAGGGAGAGACAGCACAGATGAACCTGTGAGCATGTAAGCAGGGGAGGGACAGAGAGAGGGAGAGAGAGAAACCCAAGCAGGCTCTACTCAGTGTGGAGTCCAACTTGAGGCTTGATCTCATGACTGTGAGATGACAACCTGAGCCTAAGAGTCGGAGGCTTAACATACTGAGCCACTGGGGTGTCCCTAGAAATCGACTATATATTCAAGTGTTCCTATCTCCTGAATGGTAACGTTCTGCCTGTTGAAGCCCTAAGATGGCCCCTTCCACCAACAGAAGCATGTAGAAGAGCAGCTGGGAGAAAAAAGAGATGTGCTCCTTACCTCTCTCATTCTTCAGGAAGTGTGTCCTATGTATTTTTGGTCCCAGGTAGCTGTATTTCTTCTTTCTCTTACAATCTTCTCAGACTTTTATCTGTCTTCTATCATCTTAACTTTGATATCCAAACATCAAAGAATTTGTCCTGAGATAAAAATAAAGCAAAGTTGATGCAAACAAAAGCACATTTTCAGTGAGTCTCAAAGAATTCTATTCTTCTTAATGTTAGACTGTGATCCCAAAGCTACAGACTTTACCCCTATCACCTACCCTCAACATAATAACCATACCAAAAATGTGTTTTGGTGGATTGAAAAATGGCCAACTCCAAAAACAGGGCTACTAAAGACTATTTAAACTTATGAATGGCATTTTGTCGTCTTAAGTAGGAGGACAAAATGTCACTTTATATGGATTAACAGCTGTTGAAATTAGGTTCTGTTCTACTTAAACATAAAAAACATATCAGAAGTCTTCCTCAAAAGTTATAAAATAATTCTCACAGTGTTCAGTCTCTAAACTTTTGACTCATTGTCTTACCTGAATCTATAGCTTGTTCTCTATTATAATAGAATGCAGTTTGCAATGAACATTATTTTAATTTCAGCTGTAAACTATTCTTTGGACTAGATGAAATTTCACATGGCACAATGGGTATGTTTGTATTTTATCACTTTCAGTTCCTAATGGGAATAGGCATACTAAATTGCCAAGTATTATTAAGTAAATACCAGAATTTATCCTTGATTTCCTATCCTTCAGTATGGATGAAACTTGGGAAGTTGAAGGCTTTGACCATTGTTAATTTAACAAGATGAGTTGCTTTTACAAATAAATTACAATTTCACAACGACAGCTACTGGTTTCTTTTTAGAAGTGTCACAAATGGCATTGGTATATGTGTGCTCTGGAATTTTCCAGATGTATCATTATCCTAGTGATACTTCCAAGACATTTTTTGTTTTCAAAAAGAAAACATTCAATGTGATTCAAACTGTAATTCAACATATCAAATAGTCATTTCCAATCACGTTTAAAAGATTCTCTAGCGTCCCTTTAAATACCTTAAGTACTGTTATGAAATGTAGAATAAAACCTCAAAAGAAAATAAAATCAGAGTTAACTGAACCTAATTTTACAGGAAATATCTGTAAAAGAGTTAAGCAACAAAACAATTGGCAATGGAAATTCCAGGAGATTGAGTAAATTCTTCAAGTCTAATTTATCCAGCCAGGGATGCCTGGGTGACTCAGTTGGTTGAGCGTCCAACTTCAGCTCAGGTCATGATCTTGCGGTTTGTGTGTTCAAGACCCGTGTGGGGCTCTATGCTGACAGCTCAGAGACTGGGGCTTGCTTCGGACTGTGTGTCTCCCTGTCTCTCTGCCCCTCCCCTGTTCAAGGTGCCTCTCTCAAAAATAAACATTAACAAAATTTTTAAAGTCTAATTTACCCCGATGTTAAATAAATATTCTCTTACATCTTCCTATTCTTTGTTTTGCATTCATTAGTGAAAAATTTTTGCTTTTATTAATATTTGTGCTTAATTTAGGACTCAAATTCATGACTCTTAGGTCATAAGTCATATGCTCTACCAACTGAGCTAGCCAGGTCTCCCTGTGTTATTTTTTTAATGTTGATATTAATGAACATATATGATAATAATGAACATGTATAAATGAATCTTTATATGAACTTAACTCCAAATTACCAAAAAATGAAATAAAGGCAAGAGTTATGCTAACAAAAGAAATTAATCATAAGCTGCTGTTGTGGGCTGAATTTTGTCCCTCCAAAATTTATGTTGAAGCTCTATACCCCAGTACTTCAGAATATTAATGTATTAAAAGACAGGGCCTTTCAAGAGGTAATTAAGTTAAATTATGATCCTTATGGTAGGACCTAACCCAACATGACTATTGTCCTTATGAGAAGAGATGGTTAGGACATACACAGAGAGACAGAGAAAAGACCATGTGAGGACACATGGAGAAGGTAGCAAACCAAAGAGAGAGGCCTTGGAAGAAATCAAACTTGTTGCCACCTTAACTTTGGACTTCCAGTCTTCAGAACTGTGAGAAAATAAATTTGTTTTTAAATCATCCCATTCTGTGGTATTTTGTTATGGCAACCCTAGCATAATAATACAAACACAACTTATCACCAAATCCTTTCAGTCTAGAGCCATATTCAAAATAACTATATTTTAGAAAAACAGTGAATCATTATTTTATTTCACTGTAAACTAATCAGTTAGCTTTTAGTGATCTGATTAATGGCTTGTCAATAGATGTTTTATGAAGTCTCTCACCAAACTACAACTAAAAATGTCAGTGCACTGGAATAATTCTCAACATGCATCCTTGTCTTAAAACACCATTTAATCTAAAACAAATTACTGAGATTCTAAATTGACCTTTTACAAATGCTGGTGATTCATTCTTATATGTAGACTTTATACCATGAGTTAAAGCGATGATTGCTAGTATCCTTGTAATATCATTGTGAAAATACAGCAGAGATAATATTCAACACAAGTAGATGCTCTTTTTTCTCATTTTTGGTAAGAAGTGTGTTCTTTGCTTCAAAACGTGGTTGTTCAGATTATTTATATGCGAAGAAAATAAGTTATTGGGGGAAAATGTTTTGTCACTGTTTACAAGACAGACAGATATGTAAGGATTACCAATGCCATCAAATCTCATATTCATTAAAACTAACTTGAAAAGTAGCAGTTGGGGGTTTACAATAGTCTAAATCATCCAATTTGCATCATTATATATATATATATATATATATATATACACACACACATATATAAACCTATATCACATATATATATACATATACATATATATACCTATATCACACACACACACATATATATATCACATTGTTTTCATTGGAATTATTTTTAAGCATCCTACACAAGTGAAAGTGTTGAAAAACAACAATGGACACAATCTTATCATCAGTATCATCCCATCCCATGACTAGTAATGATTTTTATAATAACTTGTCAAAATAATTATGTGTTGGATTTTGATAGGTCTTCAGTTTTTGTTTTTTTTTTCTTTTTTTTTTTAAATTTATTTCTGAGAGAGAGAGACAGCGTAAGCAGGGTAGGGTCAGAGAGAGAGGGAGACACAGAATCTGAAGCAGGCTCCAGGCTCTGAGCTGTCAACACAGAGCCCGACACAGGGCTCAAACCCACGAACCGTGAGATCATGACCTGAGCCGAAGTCGGACGCTTAACCAATTGAGCCACCCAGGCGCCCCAATAGATCTTCAGTTTTAAGGGAGGTTTGATGTACATATTTCTTGCATTGTTATCATCTTCCCCACCATAATTAGTTTTGTGGACATTTGCTACCAAAGTATACTCCTTTAGACAGAGTTGCTAAAGTTGCTACAACTCATTGTACAATCGAGTAAGAGGTGGCTCAAACTTTCATGTGAAATGATAATTGGAGGTTGTTATTACAAACAAGCACACAGAAAGATGTATCAAATTTCTAACTTTGAAAATGTAGAAAACTCTACTTCTTCAGAGGAAGAATTATGGAGCTAATATGAAATGAATCATTATGTTTAATTTTGGCTTGTGCAGCAGGCTTTGCCCCATGCAATTTCTTTTTAGTCTATCAGAGATAAATCCTTATTTACAACTTCCTATCATTTTGTAAGTTTATTCTCTTATTTTCATCTTCTTACCATGTTAAAATAGTAGCCTAGAATTACACTCTTTCTACTTGCAGTAAAGAAAACAAAACAAAAACACCTTACATGAGTGATAAGCTAAAATTACTTGAATTTTAACCTGTATACAAAGATGGACTAGTAGATTCATCTTTTAGAGTATGATGCTCAGTCAAATTAAAGGTACCATAGCAACTAGTCCAAACTGATCATCTCATTGCATAAAGCCACTTTTACTTTTAATGAAATATTTCAGGTATAATTGACCGTTGTATATCGAAACACTATCACCTTTCGAAAAGAGCTATAAAATAAGTACAGATACCATTATTTGTTCTAAGTGTGGAAGACAAACTATATCATAATACCTATTATATACTGATTTAAAGATACCTGCAGCATCTTCCTAGAAAATCTACATATTGCCAAGAACAAACAGCAAATATCTATGTTCAAGGCAAGAAAATAATTGATGACTAGAACTACTTGAATGAAGCTAAACTTATCTTCAGTATAGGAATAATTAATCCATTTAATTAGCCCCCAAACACCAGGGATTAACATTCCCAAGGCTCAAAGAAGAATATATGCTTTGAATCCCACTCCTCATTTGTTTATTTATCTGGGCTCCATCCTGCTAAAATATGAAGAATTTCAGAAGTTTTGTGATAGCTGTAATAAAAAGCAAAAGATCATCAAGATGACACCTTGGAGAAAACTAGGATAAAGTGCTCTCTGACCTTACGTGGTTATGTCTGGCACTCTATTGTCTTTTGTGTTCCAGAGGCTATATTAGCTGTCTATTTGTGTGTGTGTGTGTGTGTGTGTGTGTGTGTGTGTGTGTGTGTGAGAGAGAGAGAGAGAGAGAGAGAGAGAGAGAGAGTGTACGTGCACATGAGCACACATATCCACATTTATTAGCATACACTAAAGAAAGGACAAGCAGAGGAAGATAACTTTATACCTGGCATATATAGCATCCAGGACTACAGGTTTGTAACATTACCATAATGTAGGTCCTTGAACCTGAAATTTTCCCTATCTATGTACGCTATCACTGCATCAAATGGTACATCAGAGTAAGCTTGTAGGTTTTCATTTGATGCAAGCAAAATACAAGTGTTGAATGTTGAATATTCTGGCAAGAGTGAAGCTAACCATCCCTTACTTTGTCTTCAAAGGTATTCTTTAGAGCCTCCTTTTATGAAGGTTTTTTCAACATTTTACAATTAGGAATTTGGCAGTGCTAGTTTGGGCGTACGGGGAGGATTTGTTAGCCAAGAGTTAAGCTGATGCACAGACTTCAGAGACTTGTAGAATTCAGGAAATAGATCCTTCACCTATGTTCTTTTGCCTTTCCATTCTCCAACTTTTTCCTTTTGGATGGCTTTGATGGGCGCATGGAGCCAAAAATCATACAAAGGGAAGATAAATGAAAGCATTCTG